CGGCCTGATGCTTGCGTCGTCGCTTAATTGCTTGATGATGCTGCGTCGTCTTAATTTGATGATGCTTTTGTTTTGATATTTTTGTTTTTGTTTTTTTTCCTGCTTATTATATGTTTATCTTATCGACTTTTCTTTTTTTTCTTACAGCTTATTAGATGTACGACTCATACCGCCCGCTCAAAAATCGTTTTTGGTAATTATGACAATGATGAAAAGTAATTTTTATGTCTTCTGTGACTATATTTTTATAAATATTGTGTTGCAGTAAATTATTTTTATAAACTTCTGAGTCTTAATCCAAAAATTTTCTTGAATTTGGTTCACTAAATCACACTATCTGGGAATCCATTAAGAAGAGTTCATACGGTGGTGAAAAGCAATTTTTTTTTTTTGAACGATCATTAAATGTATCTTTGTAAATTGGTATTTATTATAATGTGTAATAAAATCAATATTATTATAAAAAAAAATTGTAAAAAAACTTTAATTTTTGAGTAATAAAAACTATAACCTTGGAACATTTACTTTGAAATTTTTGTTTTATTTATTTCACGTGTGTTAATATGGGCCGGTAATGAATATATTGTGACAAGTTTTCAAGAGCAGCAACTTTGAATTAAATAGAACAGAATTATTTTTTTTAAGTGATCTGGTACAACTAGATTACCCATAATATGATCAAGTTATGAATTGTTGTTTATAAGAAATTTAATACATATCTATGCATTGCAACTTAAAAAATTTAATTTATAAACATTCAAAATTAACTCTCACGTCTAAACTATCACTTCAAGAAACAAGTAATGAATGTCCTTTTGATATTGACTTTTAATATTGATCATATTCTACTACTTCCCTTCTAAGAAAATGACCTTTTTTTTTAATCGTTTAGCACCTAAAGTAATGAATCAGTTGTTGTTAGTTTAAAGAATTTTATTCGTAAATTATTAAATTTGATTAAAAGATCACTTATTCCAAATGAGCCTTTGATGACCCATACACGAGACTTATTAAACAATAACTTTGGAACACATATACTTACTGGTGGCCAGCCATGCACAATTCCATTATTAAGGGAAGATATGCTAAATCCTATTCGTGTCGGCATAAAAGGTTTCATAAACGCATTATCAAATTTGAACTCTTCAAATTTTTATAAAGAAATAAAGTAGGTTCGAAAGGAATGTGCTGGTTTAAATCTATATACAAATGTACAATTTGTTGAGATAACTTGTAATCGAAAGAAAGGATTTGTTTATACTTTAAGGTTCACTTCACCAAAAATTCGCGGTGCAAAGAACGAAGAGAGAAAAACATAATGGAAAAATAGTAGAGTAAAAACCGGTAGTTTAATTACTTTATTACTACCAAATCCGGATGTAAAACAAAAAGATAGTAATTCAACCGGTAGTGGTGTTTCTTGGAGTGTATTCACTTTATTTTGGAGACGTAGTATCAAGGGATGAGAAAGCTTTAGCTGAGCATAGGATTATTCCGATATTGGTGGTGTTAGCTTTACCGATCCGTCAATTTTTCCCCTCGCATCAGATCAAATTTCAAACTGCAGAAAAAGATTTATCGTTGAACAAACCGGTGTTTATCTCGAGTCTTACTATCATATACTTAAGACACTTCAGCCATTTCAAAAATATTTAGTTACTAATGCTACTGTAAATGTTGAAACACCATTCTATGCTGACCTGTCAGTTTTATGTACGAGTAATAGTCAAATTTTGAAATTAAATGTTGCTGATACAAACAGTCACGATGAAGTGGCAGAAAGAATTGATTAATATTGCAAATTAGATAATCCTAAGGTAGAAAGCAAGGAGGATTTTCATTCAACATTTGATTACAAAATTACTAATTTAATATTTTGAATTTTTAATTTAGTGAAGGCATTAATCACTGCTCTAACGCATGAAATTGCTTTCATCGAAGTACCGAAATAACATTCGTTGTCATTGAGATTATGAAAGTATTATTAAAGTTACCAAAAATCAATTGAAAAGAAATTGTTCCTATTCTTACCATTTGAACCATTTGATCAATTCTTAGAGGTATATTGTTTATATTAACTTAATAAATCAAGAAATTATATATTGTTTTACATTTTAATTAATTTAAATTTATGTAGAATTTACTTGATGCAATATAAACAATGTAGTTAAATTAAGTTCTCGTACAAAATCTAATTATATTCTTATGTTATAGTTGCGTTTAATATGACAAATTTGTAATATATGGTATTTTATATCATGTGTTATAGTGATGCACGAGTGTGTCATGAGAATTATTTTGAATTATATGTCTCGGGTGAGACTCAGGTTATCTGAAAATAAACCTGCTGAAAATTTTTTCATTTATTGTATAAGCAAAATATTAAATCATTAATAAAATGAATTGCGACTTCAACGACTTTGTAATAAAAAATTTTTTAATAAATCATGTATATGCCATAGTCAGGATTTCGAGATTTTGGACAGCGCCCGTTTAATTTATATCTTTATAAATCCAAAATATTATTATTTTATAATTATTTCATTTTTTATTTTGAAATGAACGATTTAAAAATTTATGAATTGGTATTCAAAAATATTTGACGAGGGATTGGATCCACAAGCTATAATTAATGTAACACATTGCATCGACCTTTAGCTGGTTTAAATGTGCAACAGTCATATTAATTTATTTACTTTTTTAATTTTAAAAATCTAATATAAAAAAATTTTTCTAATACAGAAACAAATTTGGAAAAGTAATAATTTTATTTTCAGGAAAATCTGAACCAAAAAAAACTACTTTCTGAATTCAAAATGAAAATATTTAATTGGAAATTACCGACTTAAGTTTTTAAAATGTAGTAATGTTGTTACTATTAATTTATTATCAGTTAAAATATCAGTAGGAATAGCATAATTGAGCAAGTGGTGATCGATCAGGGGATAAATTAAGATTTAATAATAATATCTAACTATTGCTGAAAGCACAGTAGAAAACAGGAAATGGAATGGATCACGCTAAGCACGTAGCAATGTGTGACTATATACCATTAGAGATTTTAAAAACCGACAAGTTTAATTTCAAATTTCAAATAATATTGATAAATCTACTTTATTTTTTATAATCGTTTATATTTAGTTAATTTAATAACTTTGTCTCAAAGTTGGCGATGTACTCTTCCGAAATTCTGTTTATTAAATCAAATTGATACAAAATACTAAATTCTAATTATTTAATACTAAGAATAAAATAAATATATATTGGGAAAAAATAAATAATAATGAATAAGTAAAGGATTATGTTGTAAATAAAAAAGTAATAAAAAAAAGATCTGCTTAATTCCCTAAGAGAAACCCAAGACAAATTAGCCAGAGAGTCTGTCTAGTTGTAACAATATCAAATTCTAATGCTTTTGTTTGATAACGATAAGTTTCATTCGATACATTAATTTCTTTATTGCTTTTGTCTATAAAACACACAAATTTATTAGATAAATTTTGGAATTACATATATAAATAATTTAAGTTATATATACCATCACAATCTTCATTTTGATTATTTTCAAACTTTCGTTTACCTATTTATTTTTTATAGTCAAAAGTTATTATTATTAAATAAATAAAAATCATTACTATCAAAATAACCAAATAAATAAGTCTAATTACGTTTAATGAAACGATTTCAATATTCAAATTACTTACTAAATTCCGAAGAAATGTATTGACTTTGTAAACATTTTATCATGGTACTTAAGGGTCTACTCTTATAAATAGCACCTGGATTGCTTTTTCTAGGTCCAATATCTGCTGATTCCACAATACCAAATGGATGTTTTCTTTCGGCATCTTTAATGTTTTCGAATTTAACAAAAATATCTTGAGCCGTTGGCCTTTTATTTGGATCAAGGCTCCAGCATTCTTTCATTAACGCAACATAACCTTCCGGTGCATCTTTCTCAGCAATTTCAGGACGTAAACCGTCACAAATATCAATTATCAGCTCTATATCATGACAACGATTCCAAAAAGGTCTTCTACCTGTCATAAATTCATACATAATCATACCAAAACTATAAATATCAAAAGCCGTAAGATATTTATGTCCTTGAAAAATTTCTGGGGCCATATAAGGAATAATTCCATAAATTTCATCATCTTTCGCTTCTGCAACAGATTTACTTAATCCCAAATCACCTATCGAAACTAAAGTATTTTCTATAGTAATGGGATATTTATAAATCCCTATCAAAATATTTCCGCCATGTAAATCACGATGTATAATACCATTTTTATGAAGACTAACAAGACCTTTTGCAAGATTTTTTAGATGATATAACTTTCTTGACCAAGTAACAATAGAAAATCTTTCAGACAGATAATGGCTTAAATCTCTTTGGTTATAATAATTCATAATCAACATAAAATCTTTGGTTTTAGGATCTTGGGTAATTCCATAATAATGATTAATATAGGATCTCCGTTTTAATTTATAGTATATGTTAAGCTGAAAAAAGATAATTAACTTAATATTTTAAGACGACTATAATAAATAAATAGAATAGAAATAAATAAATGTACCTCATTTAACTCTTGCAATGTAATGTTTTTAGAATTCTCGAGTTTCTTAAGAGCTACTTGTCTATTAGCAACCCTAGAAAACCCCTGTTTCTTAAAACAAATTGGACCATCTATCCAAGTAGCTTTATAAACTTTACTAAATCCTCCCTCACCAATGTATACAACATCTTTGATTTTATCGTACGGAACAAACTCCATTAATCTGCCTTTGTGGGCATTATTAATTTGTGTATATTTAATAAAATCGTCAACAATTTTGTTACCGCTTGGAATAAAGATTGAATTTGATGTTTGACAAAGGCGGCAAATATTATGGTTTACTGCAAATGGTTTTCTTATATTTTTACACTCAATGCATTTCTCAACGGTTCGCTTTTGTTGATATTGACTCATTATTATTATTGTCTAAAAAATTACCTATAGAATGGTTTTTATGCAAAACGAGTTTATTGTAAAACATTCTGTAATACTCAAAAAAAAACCCCATTTACAATAGAAGTTTCGAAAATAAATTAAGTTCATGTGATGTTTTGTTGACGTTACAGAACAGATTTGCTATTTGAAAATGGTTGAACAAAACTTTTCTATAGAAATGCTCAAAAAAGTAGTTCCGCTCTATGTTCAAATAGAAACTCTTTTAGATGTTCGAAAATAAATAAATTTAAGTGACACAAATATGTTTTGTTGACATATTACAGAACAGATTTGCTCTTTTTAAAATGGATTATCTATAAAATGGTTTTACGTGTGTAACATTCCGTAAATACTCAAAAAGGTAGTTCCCGTTCAATGTACAAGTGAGACAATGTATGTCTTGTTGATGTATTACAAAACAGATTAAAATGGTCGCTTAAAATTTACCTATTTTAAAATTGAAGCATAGTAAGTAAAGAAAGTTCAGAACTACAACTCGACCACTTAGTCACAATTAATTTTATATCAATTTTAAATCTTATACGATTATTTATTCCTTTGTTTCTAAAGCGAATTCTAAGGTACTTGATTTAACATAAAAAAGCTTATTAAATAACTAACCATCAGAAATTTAGGCGGCAAAATAGTTGTCTAGTAGAACCAAAAAAAAAAAAATTATCTAGAACGATAAAAAAATTAAATTTATATCAAAAACCCCATAATCGTTGCCGCAGTAAAAACAGAGTGGCGAAATTAATAATTTAATGGATTTGTTTTCTATCAATGAGTAACAGGAAAATTAAATTTGCATAATAAATGACGAAAAAAATACTCATGCCTAAAAAAGTAATTTAATTAATTTAATTTATATTTAACAAAAAGAAAATATCCCAATTCGTAAAATTTCGTTGCTATATCGCTAAAAATACCAAAAAAAAACCAACTGATGATGCATTACGAACTTATTTGGATTTAAAATGATCGGACATTTTAAAAATAAAAATTCACTCTTTCTTTTAAATTAAAAATATGTCTGACAGTATAAATAAACACAAAAGCGTAATAAAAAATCAAAGATTTTTTTTTAAGTACCAGTTTCAGATGCTAAGGAAACATCATCATTAGAAGAAATAGAAGGTAATATCATATATTATAAACACGTTTAAATATACTGCAAATTACCCATTTTTGTTCATTTTAAATTAATTTGAACATAGAACCCGTTTCATGTGATGAAGGTAAGTACAATAACAAACATAATTAATCAACAAATATTATAATATAATAATTATACTCAATTTATGTTTAAATTAGATAGTAAAGAACATTTATAAATTGTTTACTATAACTTTAATAATTAATTTTAATACATTATAATAGAATCAGTTTCAGATGTTATTGATGCTCCTACATTAAAAGAATTAAATGGTAATAAATTTTATTTATCTATTATCTAGTTACTAATCAAATGATTCTTTAATAATTAATATTTTTATTTTTAAAAAAAAAAAATTATTGATGATGATAATTAGATTGTAAGTCATTTAGTTTTATTATATTTAAATTTATATAATTTAAATTTAATTATCTTTAATTAAAAAATATTTAATATTCAATAATACTATAGGTAGTAGTTATATATTCTTTATATTTTTATTTAAATTTTATTAATTTATTTATAAAAATATTTAATAGTTAACGTTATCAATCTTTTATTTGGTAAATTATGTTTATTAATTAATAATTTATATTTAATTATTTATTATTATAATTTAAACTTAATAATAATTTTTTATAAA